CAGGCCCTGCAGCTCCAGCACTCCCAGGGCTAGCACCTCCGAGACCGGCGACACCAGCACCCTCAGCAGCCGAAGAAGCACCAGCTCCAGCAGTACGCCTCCAGCGCCGCGCAAACCACTCGCGCAGCTCCTGTGGAGAGAGTGGCTCCCGCCGAGACGAAGCACCCAGAGAACCACCAGGCCCAGCACCGCCAGACGCCATACGAGCAGGTCCAGCGGCCGCGGGCTCCGCACCCCCAGGCTCAGCAGCTCCAGACTCAGTACCCCTAGGCTCAGCAGCTCCAAACGCAGCACCCCCAAGCTCAGCAGCTCTAGACGCAGCACCCCCAGGCGAAGGACCCCCAGGCTCAGCACCCCCAGTCGTAGCACCCCCAGGCTCAGTACCCCCAGGCTCAGCACGCACTCGCGCAGCACCCCCAGAGTCAGCACCCCCAGGCTCAGCACCCGCAGCAGTACCAGAGTCACCAGCAACCTCGACCGGCTCGACTGCGTCTACCTGGGACACACCTGAAGGGGCAGGACCCTGAGGGGGGAGGGGGTCTACCTGGGGGGGACCTGGCACAAGGAAGTGCGGCGGCGGGGGGAGGGAAGGAGTGCGGTAGGGGAAGAGACGGTAGTAGGGGACCGACTCGTCAAACGTGACGTCCTGGGAGGACAGAACACGACGAGAGGAGGGGTGGTAGAACTGCCACCCTGGTGCGTCACGGGGGAAGCCAAGGAAGACACAAGGAGCAGCACGAGGGGACAGCTTGTCCGCAGACAAGTCGCGGACAAACGCCCGAGATCCCCAAACACGGAACGCAGACGCATCGCCTACCTTCCCCGTCCACAGCAGAGCTGGGGAGGTCTCCGGCATGGAGACCCTGGGGTGAAGGTTGATCTGATGCGCCGCGTACCGAACCGCAAACGGCCACAGATAATGGGGGGCAGCCGCATGCATCATGGACGTACGAGCGACGTCCATGACCATGCCAATGCGGCGCTCAGCAATCCCATTTTGCTGCGGAGAGTCCGGAAGCGTGAAGGTCTGGCGAATGCCTCGCGCACGGCAGTAGGCTCGCAGAAGGCCAGAGGAGAACTCTCCGCCTCGGTCAGAGTGCAGACGCAGAACAGGAAAGTCTGAGCCGAAGCTCCTCCCGAGCTGAAGACGAGCTGCGCGGATCCAGTCGATCAACACCTCAGTGACATCACCCTTGCTGCGCAAGGGGAAGACTGAGGTGTAACGCGAGTAGTCGTTAACCACCAGCAGGAAGTAGCGCTCGTGACCCTGTCCACGGACGCGGGCCAGGCCCCATACGTCCATGTGAAGCGTCTGCAGCGGGGCCTCTGTCGGGGGAAACTGAGAGAAGTGAGGGGCAGCCCAGAGCCGCCCCTCGACACAGGGAACACAGGAAGGACCAGGCCTTGGAGGAAGGGGAGGGAGGGACTGGGGGAGACCAGAGACAAGGACACGGGAAGCCATGCCTCGGAGACGAGGCAGGGAGGGGTGACCAAGACGGTGGTGCCACAAGAGAGTCTCGTGAGACAGGAGGCAACACGAGCAGGGGGCAGACTCAGGACCAGACCTGGACGCTGCAGCAAACACCTGACCTGACGCAGCTACCTAGCTAGACGCAGGGACAGGAGGAGACCCAGTGGTCAGGGTGTAGAGGCTCGACCCTGGCTGACGCGTAAATGTGGCCAGGTGCCGGCCTGTGCGAGCGTACGAGCAGTGGGTCACCCGCTGACTCGCAGGAGTAAACTGTTGAACCCCCACATCCTGCAGGTCAGCACCACTCACCAAGTTCATAGAAAACGAGGGGAGGTAAAGACCAGACAAGGTGCCAGAGGGGGCAGCCGGACACGGGAGGACAGTGGAGAAGTGAGAGAGGACAGGACCCCCAGAGGGGTCTGCCACGGAGACTGCAACCGGCCGACCAAGCGGCGTGAGTGTGGTGCGGTCTCGAAAGAAGGAGCGAGAAGCCCCTGAGTCAAGGGTGAAGGTGAGGGAGGCCGAAGCCGACGTGGTACCTGAGAGCGCAGACTCACCAGCACCTGAGGGCGCAGACGCACTGGCACCTAGAGCAGCAGCCTCACCAGCACCTAGAGCAGCAGTACCAATGTCCGGGTCAGGCGGGAAACACCGGTAACAGTCACCCTCATCACTAATAGTCACAGCATACATGGCAGCAAGGATAGCATCAAAGTCAAGATCATAGATAGCTACGCTTGCCCTAGAAAGCTCTCCCAAGCGGGGGATCTCACTGGCCTCCGGGAACTGCTGACGCCAAGCGTCCGTCAGGCGGCCAAAGCAGCGCTGGGTGGGGTGGGCACCCCCACACTGCTCACCCGCGCGGTCGTCGGAGCGAAGGACGTAGGTGCACGGACCAAAACCCCCACCACACTAACGCTGCGCGTACCACTCACGGAGCTGCTGAGGGGGGGGAATGTCCCGAGAACGCTGCTCCTGCTGCTGTTGCTGGCGCTGACCACCACCAGGGCTGCTCCGCTGCGAAGCGCCACCCCGACCACCTCCACCTCCTCCACCACCGCCTCCTCCACCTCCGCCACCACCGCCGCCTCCGCTAGCACCGCCGCCGCCTCCGCCGCCTCCGCCTCCACTGCTGCCACCGACACCTCCACCCCCGCCACCACTCCCACTGCCACCCCCACTCCCTCCGCCGCCTCCACCGCCACCTCCACCGCCCCCGCTAGCTCCACCCGCGCCCTTGCCCCCCTTGCCCTTGCCTGAGGGGCGTCTCTCGCTAGGGGCAGACGCCGCACCGACTGACTCAAGACCAACGAGGTCGGCCGCAGCGGCAGAGGCGACAGAGGGCAAAAGGGGGGAGAAGGAACACCCCTCAAAGATGGGGGTGCGAGGGTCACCACGAGAGGCTCCTACAGCGACTATGTTCTTCTCCGCTGCTAGGAGGGCCTTCTGTAAGAGGTCTACAGTGAGAGTGGTGGGACAGACTGAGAGCAAGTGGTCCCTGACTACACGAAGGGAGTCAGGGAGGCGGGTGACTATATAATAGAGAGTGATGTACATGGGGGGGGGGGGGGTTCTTGGCGCAGAACTCAGCAGGAAGCGCGGCGCGGTAGCGAGTGTCACTAGTGCGGAGGTGCGTAATGAGGTCAGCGACTGTGGGAAAGGCAGCAAGGTCAGGGAAGAGGTACGGTAGCATGAGGCAGCTCAGTTCAGCAATGGCAGGGGAAGAGTAGCGCGCAACTACAGCGTCGTACAAGGTCTGAGCACTCTTGTATTGACTAAAGTGCGCGCGCTCAGTGGTAGGCAGGTGGCGACGCACAGCAAGACGTGCAGCAGCATCGCGCGTGGCCCACTGGGAGCGAACAGTGGGGTCAGCATCAGCAGCAGGGGCAGGAGAGGCGCCAGAGGTGAGGTCAAAGAGAGAGAGACCGTCTGCCCTATCGCACTGTAAGAACAGCTGTAGGTCATCTACCCAGACCTCAAAGTCAATGGCTCGACCCTCAGCGTCAAACGCGAGGACACTAGGGGTAGCCATGAGAACAGTAGACTAGTAGTACCAACTGTAGGACAGGGGCAGTGCAGTGACAGAAGCGCTGCTCTCACCAGACAGGGCGGTTCGGGCAGCTGAGTAGCACAGCAACACGGCAACACGACTACTCGGACGGCTCAGCAGCAACTGCGGCTCCGCAGCACCAGCGGCTCGGCTCCTCAGGCGGCTCGGGCGGCTCGGGCGGCTCGGGCGGCTCGGGCGGCTCGGCTCCTCAGTGGCTTAGGCGGCTCGGGCGGCTCGGGCAGGTCGGGCGGCTCGGGCGGCTCGGCTCCTCAGCGGCTCATGCGGCTCGGGTGGCTCGGGCGGCTCGGGCGGCTCGGGCGGCGCGGGCGGTGTAGGGCGGTAGGGCCGCTGGTAGGGCGGCGAGGCCGCAAGGTAGGTGGTGGGGCCGCAATAAGAGGGGCGGCGGGGCCGGAGTGAAGGGCGGCGGGGCCGCTGAGAAGGGCGGCGGGGCCGCAGTGAGAGAGGCGGCGGGGCCGCAGAGAAGGGCGGCGGGGCCGCTGAGAAGGGCGGCGGGGCCGCATCGAGAGAGGCGGCGGGGCCGCAGCGAATGGCGGCGGGGCCGCTGAGACGGGCGGCGGGGCTGCAGCGAAGGGCGGCGGGGCCTTCGTGTGAGGCGGCGAGGCCGCAGGGAAGGGCGGCGGGGCTGCAATGTGAGGCGGCGGGGCCGCAGCGAAGGGCGGCGGGGCCGCTGAGATGGGCGGCGGGGCCGCAGCGAAGGGCGGCGGGGCCGCTGAGAAGGGCGGCGGGGCCGCAGCGAAGGGCGGCGGGGCCGCTGAGACGGGCGGCGGGGCTGCAGCGAAGGGCGGCGGGGCCTCAGTGTGAGGCGGCGGGGCCGCAGGGAAGGGCGGCGGGGCTGCAATGTGAGGCGGCGGGGCCGCAGCGAAGGGCGGCGGGGCCGCAGCGAATGGCGGCGGGGCCGCAGCGAAGGGCGGCGGGGCCGCTGAGATGGGCGGCGGGGCCGCAGCGAAGGGCGGCGGGGCCGCTGAGAAGGGTGGCGGGGCCGTAGCGAGAGAGGCGGTGGGGCCGTAGCAAAGGGCGGCGGGGCCGCTGAGACGGGCGGCGGGGCTGCAGTGAAGGGCGGCGGGGCCGCAGTGAAGGGCTGCGGGGCCGCAGCGAAGGGCGGCGGGGCCGAATCGACAGGCTGCGGGGCCGCTAGGGCGTTGGGGCCGCTAGGGCGGCTCGACGAAGTGAGAGCCCGGAGCGCGATTCGGGCTGAGCGCGCTTCGGGCAGGGAAAAAAAACTCAATGTGGTGGGCCCTAGGCACAGTTCCCACGAGGGAACCTGCTCGATACCATGAGGAAATTAGAACGAGAATGAATGACTATGGAATGAAAGTGATACAAATATGCAACCCTAGAAATGTGTACCCCATATGGGCTACCCCACTAAAGCCTAGACAACATTATAATTTGACATGTACAGTACAGTATAGTACAACCCCCAAACGTAAACATAAGAACCATGTCTTTTGCTTGCTCCTACAACACCACACCTCCACCATCCTCCTCACGCATTCGTGCGTGGACAGAATCAAGGACATGAGCCACGCTTGTCACATTAGCCACAATAGGGGAGAACCAATCACCCTTGGTGAGCACGAGGTGGTAGCGCAGGGAGCAGGCAGAGGCGAGCGACTCGAAGACTGTAGCATGGCAGCCTTCTGGACGAATCTCGAGCACCGAGCTTTGTTCCGGCATGAAGATCATGTTGGTGAGGGCCACTCCATGGGCTGCTATGTAGAGACGTGCTCGTGACAGGAGTGCACGGGCTGGGGGTGAGGAGGGGGACGGGTGGAAGCCGGGGGGAGGGGGGGGGATGGAAAGAGGACAGGCGTTAGCCATGGAGATTATGTTGGTGAGGGCCGCTCCGTGGGCAACTATGTAGAAGCGAGCTCGTGATAGGAGTGCTCGGGCTGAGACGAAGAGGCATGGGGAAAGAGGAGGGATGGAAGTGCGGGTCCACAGCTCGCTATGTGAATTCTCATTCAAAGAGAGAGCTCAAAACCTGGGAGAGAGTGTTGGGGCGCTTTGAGAGGAAGGAGGAGCTATGGATTAGGCAGGGAGGATGGTTGGCTCGGATCATTCTAGGTACAGAGGATCTAGGTACAGAAGAGTTAGGCACGGAGAATTTAGGCACGGAGGATCTAGGTACAGAGGAACTAGGTACAGAATACTCTAGCACGAAGGTCCACGTCTCATAAATGGCGAAAACAAAGAGGGCAAGAGGCACCTACCAAAGACACACAAGTGCGGCTGCAATGCTCAAATGCACGAGAAAAAGTCTAGCCAGCAGGAATAGACATTCCCTTGACCCACCTTGCAGAATCGACAGCGACCCGTTAAACACCACCACTCGCTCTTGCCCAAACCGCCGCACCGCCTCCGCCTCCACCTCCTGGAAATTCTCCATCACCCGGCGCTGCCCCTCTGGCCGCTTCGTGAGCACAATCACCCAATCGTGGGGGAAGGAGTGCGCTTCAGCAAGGGAGAGAGGGCGGTGGCTGTGGTAGGTCCAGTCGGGGTTGAAGAGAGGGATGCCGGAGGGGTGCAGCAGATGGCGGCGCCACAGCATCTGCCAGAGGGGTCTGCTGGGGCGGTCACAGTCTTGGAATATGGGCTGGGGGATGGGGAGGTGGGGAGGTGAGGAGGTGGGGGAGTGGGAGGGAGTGGGGGAAGAGTGAGAGGGGAAATGGGACGGTTGGAAGACATGCGAAGGTGTGATGTGAGATGGCATAGCATGGCATGGAATGGGATGGCATGGGATGAGATAGAATGGTATGGCATTAGATGGGATAGCATGGCATGGCATTAGATGGGATAGCATGGCATGGCCTGGAAGCATGGCAGGGCATGGCATGGAATGACAAGCATGGCATGACAGGGCATGGTATGGCATGTGAAGATATAGACTACCTGACCACTACTCATGCCATGTCATTCCATGCCATGCATGGCCTACCTTGTACACCATATCGGCGTGAAAGAGATCGTTAGCGAATGTGGGCAGCAGGCGACTATGATGTGTGGGGATGCCAATGAGTGGAGCGCCCAGCTGCTCGTACCAACGCACCTGCAGGGAGGGGCAAGAGCAAGGGCATGAGATGGAATGGAAATCATTTTCCAGTCCAGACAATGTGTGAGAGCAAGGTTGCGGAAAGGTTACACGGCAGCACAGGGTGCAGCAGAATGCAGCAGGGCGCAACAGCTACAACGGCTGCTGCATGCAGACGCATGGGTGAAACCCCACCTTGAACGCCCTAGCGAGCTTGGGCAGGCGCTGCAGCAGAGAGGACGAGCGGTGCAAGTGCTCGATCGAATCATGCCATACATGGCCGCCTGGAGCGCAGGTGCTTCGATTAAGCTTTGATATCTCTCGAAAGCATGCAGGCGGCAGCGCTGCTTGACCCGACTCGATCAAAACCCACCTGTGTTTGCCTGACAAGTACAGGCACGTTTTGCAGCATGGACGACATGAGGGGCGCGGAGACGAGGAAGAGAGGAACGAGCTCCACGAGAAAGTGGTAGAAGTTGTTGCCTGGTTGGTGCGCTAAGTTGAACAATGCCGGCAGCTCGTACACCATGTGCGTCGCCTCATACTTGGCCTGGTGGATATTGGGAAGGGAAGGGAGTGCAGTACAGTGTGCAACACGAGGCAGTCGTTAAGGCTGTTGCCGGGTTGGTGCGCCCAGTTGAACATGGGTGAAGTTAGTTTGTGAACAAAGTGCACTGCCTCATACTTTGCCTGGTGGTGATAGGGAAAGGAAGGGACTGCATAACATGGTGTATGTCGAGTCGACTCACACAGCCGAAGGTGCTGAGGGCCTGTTGAGAGGGAGTACACCGCACGTATGGCAGAATCACAAATGCGCATCTATGCCAGAATGAGCATTGCAAGAGGTTTGTCATGTGCCATTTGCAAAAAAACACTGTCTCATCGCAGAAGCAACCTCCGCACACACACAGACAGCCCTCCACGCAATTCTCCCTCCTCTGCATCCCTTCTCACTCACTCACATCCCTCCCTCCACACAGCCAGCTCTCACCGTTCCGGGGAAGCGAGAGCACCCGTTCCTCACGAACGCGTGAGTGCGGTTGAGATTCACTCCGTTGCCGGTCACAAACACATCCTCCAGCCACATCACCTGCAGCGCGCTCACATCGTGCCGCACGACATCCTTCCTCTTCGAGCACGTCTCGTCGAACGCGGTGCTGTCCCCTTTAAGGGGGCAGTTTATAGGGGGGCTGATTTCAGTCTCGAGTTCGTCCACAAGGTGGGGGTTCCAGCAGGCCTGCACGTTGGGGAAGCGGGCGGTGCATGAGCCGAAGGAGGGACAGGGAGGGCCGTGGCACCCGAGCTTCTTCACCCAGTCTGACTCGCCTGGGATACTATCTGCTGCAGCACTGTCCACTGCAGCACTTGTGGCGTTTTGGGTACCATTTCTTAAATTGCCACTTGAGCTGCTTCCTGAACTGCCATTGGAACCGCCACTCAAACCGTCACTTGAACCGCCACCTGAAATGGCACCTAAAGTGACACATGAAAGGTCGCTCCCGGGTTCGATTGGAGTGCCGGCAAAGTTTGCGGGCCAAGGCTTGCGGAGAGGGAGGCTTTCGAAGAAGCCCATGAAGATGAGGGGAAGGCGAGCGGTGTCGAGATGGCACCCCAGCGGGCGAGCGACAAGGTTGACTCGCTCCGGGTGATGCCTGGCGTGATTGAGCGGGAGGGAGGGGTCGTGAAGAATGGAGGGAATGAGAGAGGGGAAAGGCGTTGGGCAGGCGGAAGGCGTCGAGAGGGCATCCCAGTGGACGAGCGACAAGCTTGACTCGCTCCGGGTGATGCCTGGCGTGATTGAGCGGGAGGGAGGGAGGAGGGAGCGGGGAGGGGGGGTAAGGGGGGGGTGTGAGGAATGGGGGAACGAGGGAGGGGGAAAGAGGTAGGATGTTGCCATGTTGGGCACGTGTGAGGCGTTGAGAGGGCATCCGCGCGGGCAAGAGACAAGGATGACTCGCTCACTCCAGGTGATGCCTGCCGGGCGTTGTTGGGTGAATGGATGAACAGAGCGACTACTTTTGAGCCGACCCAAAAGTCAACTCGTCACGAGGGTGTGGGTGTGTGGGTGTGTGTTTGCGTGTGTGTGCGTGTGGGTGTGGGTGTGTGGGTATGTGTGAGTGGGTGGGTGGGTATGTGTATTGGTTGGTGTGTGTGTGCGCGAGCGTGTATGTGCGTGTGTGTGCGCGCGAGCGTGTATGTGCGTGTGTATGTGGGGGGGGGGTGTGGGGGGGGGGGGGAGTGTGTGTGGGGGTGTGTGCGTGGGTGTGTGTCTGTGTATGTGTGGGTGGGTGGGTGTGGGTGTGTGCGTGTGCGTGGGTGTATGTTTGTGTATGTATGGGTGGGTGTGGGTGGGTGGGTGTGGGTGTGTGCGTGTGCGTGTGTGTGTGGATGGGGGGGGGGAAGGTGGGTGGGTGTGTGGGTGTGTGTATGTGTGTGAGTGTGTGTGTGTATGGGTGTGAGTGTGTGTATGTGTGTGTGTGTGGGTGTGGGTGTGTGTGTGTGTGGGTGGGTCTGTGCCAAGTGATGAAAGGCTTCAGCAAGTAATGGCCAACTGATTGAACCGCTCTAGCAAGTACCATTGACCGACCTCAAATGCACCGGGAGGGAAAATTTGAGCTCGCTTTCGAACTCTCCCACCCTGCCCACCAGATGGCGGCTCGGAAAATTCTGGCCGTTGATCTCTGGTGGGAGTAATCATCACGGTTCATGGAAGGGGGAGGAGGAAGTAGGGGGAAAGGAGGGGTGAGAAAGGGGAACGATGGGGAAGGGGGAGGAGAAAATAAGGAAAGGAAGGGTAAGGAAGGGGAAGGAAGGGGAAGGAAGGGGAAGGAAGGGGAAGGAAGGGTAAGGAAGGGGAAGTAAGGGGAAGTTAAAGGGGTGTGACGGACATGGCTACCTTTCACCACGGTGGGTGTTTCTCATGAGAATTTTCAAAAGCAACACCATCATAGCTGGTTAACGGTGGGTGGGTGGATTGACGTGAATCGTCAAGAAGAAAACGAGGTGGCTCTTGAGTGGACTGAAGGGAGCGGTGGAGCGTGGTGGAGCGTGGTGGCCTTCTTTCCTCACCAGCATTTTCAACTAGTTCAACCGCGAATTTGATGGGTACGGCCTTCACAGAAACCGTCAGGAAGACGGCAACAACCACCAGCAACAGCCGGCAACCACTAGCAATGTTGGCGCGTATCACCATCACAGATTCCGTCAGATATTGGTGAGAGCCCGTGATAGATATTGAGAGTAATGGAAGCGGTTTGCTATGAGAAGCAGCAGCCTGGTGAGAACCCGTGACAGCAGTCAGTGGAAAAGAAACTCTCAGTAATGGCAGACTTGCACCCAGAGAGAAGACTCTAGCACAAGCCTTGCCGCTTCTGGCGGGGTGACGTGACACCTTATCATAATGCATAACTATTGGCGAAGGCTTCAGCGGGCGGTGCACAGGACGCACAGGGAGGCGAGGGAGCTGACCTGGCGATTGGACTGGCGATGGGATTGGGGAAGGGGGGCTGGGATGGGACTGGGGGGCGCTCGCACGCAGCATAGAGACAATCGAAAACAGATGCTCAAAATGTTCGCCGGAGATTTTCCGGGGTCGTCCCGACATACTTTGAGTAATTCCTGACCGAGGTACAGTCGGAGAAAAAGTCTTGGGCCGTGATCGCCTTCGCCAGCTGCATGATTCGGCCCCTTACAACCACAAGTAGGCATCTGCAACATTGTCTTCGAGTCTGCTAAAGAATTCAGCCCGCGTGACGTCCAGATTCCGTTGGCAGCCTGGCTCCCCGGCCAGGGGGATTCGGAGTGGCTCGAGTCAGCTCCGGCGCTGGTGATCCGCAGTTTGTCCCCAAGCCAAGCCACATGATGGTATTGTCACGTCAGGTGGTCACCTCGGATGACCAGCGCCCAGCGATGTCCACCTGAGCACGAGCAGAACAAGAGTCGCATACGCAATCGAGATGATGAGGTCGGTGTTGTGAATTATTCGTCCGTTGCTGCATTGCAACGATGATGAATTTTTGTTTGCCTTTTCCGTAACCTACGCAGAAAAGCTTTAGACGTGACTTGAAAACAACCCTGAGCTAGTACAAACCCCAGCAACGTGATGTGCCTTATCGCGATCATCCTGCAATTAGGCCGGCAGTGTTTGTTACACCTGGGAATAACTTTTTTCGCAACAGTACTACTGTTACAAGTGCAATTTGAGTGAACGAGTGAGAATTGCACTATCGAAGCAAGAGTACAATGAGCGAAGGCATGAGCGAAGAATATATAGTAAAACTACAGTGGTAACGGTAATGTGTGGAAAATGGGGTGCGCGACGGGCCTAGCGCCGAAGTTGGGAAATGTCGAGGCGGAGGTTTGGAGCGCGGGTTACCAACCTAACTCTGAGGTTGGGTCGCGTCGTGAACAGTGGCAGGACAGTGTCGAGGCGAGTGTCGCGTGTGGAAACGGATTACTGTTGGGTGCTGTTGGCGGGAACAGTGGTGTGCGCGCTGAGCAGGGACGCGAAGTAAGGAAAAGGAATTTTCCTTACACTACCCCCACCCCTAAGGAGGCCCTCCTTATGAAAGCGCGTGTACAAACCGGAAGTTCCGGCTGCGCAGGTACTCGGTGAGGACGGGGTGGCTTTCAACTCTATCCAGGGGAACCCATCTGTCTTCAGTGGGCGTGCGGTCTTTCCAGCGGATCAGAAATTAGATCCTTCAGGCTCCCAGTGGATCGCGGACTCAGTGGCTCAGGATTTTCTTGGGCGTGATGATTGGTTCTGTTGGTGGTCGGGTCATGCTGGCTGGGCGGTTGCAGGGCAATTGGCTGTAAACCGTTGCCGAAATCCTGTAGCAGTACGGCTCCGATGGCGATATCACTTGCGTCAGTAACTACTTCGAATGGGCGGTGTGGGTCGGCGATGCGCAGTACGGGCGGTGAACAGAGAACAGTTTTTAGGGCAGAGAAGGCAGCATGCTCTTTCTCCCCCCATGTAAAAGCGGCCCCCATTCTCAGCAAATCCGTCAGTGGTGCCGTCAATTTTGCCATGTCAGGGACGAACCGACACACGTAATTACAAACCCTAAAAAACTCTGCAGCTCCGTTATATTTGTTGGGGGGTGCCAGGATTTTACCATGTCCAGCTTCTTCGGGTCAATCTCAACCCCAGCCTCCAAAATAACGTGCCCCAAAAACTCTAGCCTTTCCTGAAAAACTCGCACTTGGAACCTTTCGTCAGCAGCTGGTGCTCGTCTAAGATTTTAAATACTGCTTCCAGGTCTACTAAGTGCTGCTGCTTATCGCGACTGTAGACGAGGATGTTGTTAAGGTAAACTATCACACATTTGTCTAAAAGTGGCTTAAACGCCTCGTTCATGGTCATCTGAAAGGTCGCCAGTGCGTTGGTCAGCCCGAATGGCATGACGGTGTACTCGAATGACCCATACCTACTCCTAAAAGTTGTCTTGGCGCAGTCCGATGGTTCGTCTCGAATCTGATGGTAACCCCCCTGTAAATCGATTTTTGAAAAGACCCGTGCTGTTTACAGTTGATCTATCAGCTCATCCGCGCGGGGAATGGGGTATCGAGACTTGAGTGTTCCCCTGTTTGGTGCTCTGTAATCGATCCACATGCGAAACCCTCCGTCTTTTTTCGGTGTGAACAGTATCGGTGCGGCGAACAGTGACGAGCTCGGTCGGATGAATTCCTTCTCTAACATGTAATCTAACTTCTTCCTCATTTCGTCGAGCTCAGGCTGTGTCAATCTGAACTGTCGCTGTACGGTTGGCTGTGCCCCGAGTTCTAACTCTATTCGGTGGTCGTGTGCTCGCTGAGGTGGCAGTCCTTCCGGTAAGTCGTCCGGAAAAATCCCCGGGTACCGTTTCAACAGTTCCTGTTGCTTGGGCGGTACCGCCGCCAGCAGTTTCTTGAAATCGCTCGGTTGCTCTGTTTCCTCTACCACTTCGATGTCTACTGCGTACACGTCAGCTCCAGCGGCGACAGCTCATTTCATTGTGATGGCATTGACTTGGACCGTTGAAGACCCAGGCGACTGCCGACAAGGTAGTTCAACCCAGTTACCACTAATTCGCACAGTGTAGCTACCCTTCGTCTAGTCAATTCGCGGGTTATACCGTCGCAGCCAATCACGTCCCAGTAAAATGTCGTGCCCATCCAGTGTCGTCGCGAGCATTTCCTGTGTAAATCAGAAGTTCCCCCCCGCAGCGGCTTTTACTTTCTCCACCTTCTCCCATATGGCCAGCGGTGTGCCGTCAACTAAGCGTGCATCTATCTCTGGTAAACACTGGCTAAGTGCCAGCTGCAGCTTCCGTGCGGTCGCGGTATTAACTAAACTGTGACTTGCTCCTCCGTCTATAAAAATCTTCACTGCTGCTCCTTGTATTTTCACGTGGATCAGTACTGGGCAATCCGTCGCTGTACCCTCCTTATTCGTCCGAGCCCGATCGATGACATGAATCGGTACTGTGACTCGGTGAGGGTCGGTGAGGTTGGGCAACCAGGCAGTCTCGTCAGTAGTTGGCTCGATTCCTACTGACTACTTGTGTTTCCCTGCCTTGTACACTCCCTCCCCTGCTCTGCTCCGCGGCACCTAGCTTCTCTGGGCACTCACTCTTGCGATGGCCCGGCCTATTCCAAGAAAAGCAGCGCCCTTTAAACAGCGCGGCAGCTGCATTTGTCGCAACGGCATGTACGGTGGCGTGCTCGATTGGTCCACGAGGGCAATGTTTGTAGTAGGACCCCGGCCTCGGTCGGCGTAAAATGTCGATTTTCTCGGCGAGCGCGAGGATCTCGTTGAAATTCGAGAGCCCGAGTAGAATGATTTCGTGGGAGATGTCCGGCGTCAGCCCTCCGACGTAGCGGTCCATCCGCTCTGCTTCGTGCATGTAGCCGACTTGCTTGCATAATGCGAGAAAACCGCTTGTGTAAACTTGAACCGATCCAAGCTGCTGCCAAGTACGCAGCCTCTGGCGCGCCGAAATGGAAGCCGCAATGGGCTCGAAGCGCGCCCGAAGCTCTGCGCACCACGCATCCCACGTGCTATACTGGGCGGTTTTGCAAAATGAACTCCATGTTATGTGATGCTATCACTTGCATTCACGTCTGTCTGCCTCCCATCACATGTTCGTGCGTTGCATGCGTGGTGTGAGCGTGTGCAAGAATTTGTGTTTTGTGCAGTTTGTTTTTTCTGAGTGTGTGTGAATGTTATTTGGCTTGAGCAGATATCTGAAGTGACTTCTGTGCTCAAGAGCTTTCCGACGAACCAAGAATCGCTTCAATCGGAGCACAAACAAGAAAGTTACGAACGTTGGAGTTCGTATGCTTTTCAGATTTGATTGTGGCAACTGTGGGAAGTTGTGGGGTTGACTCAATATGGGGTACAGACTTTTGGGGGTTGGGAAATTCGTATTTTCTACTGTAGTTGCTGCCAAATGGTTGGGAGAAACCAAACCAGGCTGGTAAGTGTGGCCAAGTTGGGTTGAAGTGGATTGCGAAGGTTGGGATAGTGACAAAGGTCAAAGTTGGGTTGCTTATGGGGAAGGGAATTGTGTGGCATGGGGTTTCCTTGGTTGGGGACTCTCTTGGGACCTTCCCTCTTATCCCCCTCATCCCTTCCACCTGGTTTAGTGCTACTCTAACTCTCTTGTGTAGTAATTGTGAACTTGCGAGACTCTTGTGATTGAGTAAGTTCTTATGGCAGCATACCCCCTTGTGCGCTGAAATTGATAAGTCGAGATTTACTTCATCTCTTGATACGATTCAAACTGGGAATTGTAGCCACGGACTAGGGCTACATCATATCTGAGTTTGGTGAAGTTTTAATCGTGAAGTTTTTGTCGACGGCGTTTCTTGTGAGCGCGACTATTATGTCCAGAAATTGAGACCAACGATTTTGAGAAATCTAGGCACCTAATCTTCATAAACTCCGTCCTTAGTCTCTAACACTCCAGGTGACGGCTGGCCTCGTGGGCCCTTCCTCATGCGACGGTGGTTCGTAGGCGCGTGTCGACGTCACGATGACTCGCCACCAGTCCATGGCGGGGCCCCTTAGCAGCGAGACGGCATATCGGATCTTCGCTGCGTCCGACTCGACGTAGTTTGGGTCGAAAAAGACGTTCATCGTGAAGACCCACGATTGAACCGTTGGACCTTCATGCTGGCTCGGTCGAAACAGGGCGGGCGCGCCGG